ATAATGTAATATACAGAAACGTAAGATAGGAAAAGAGTCAATCTTCCAAAAAAACTATAACACATGTTGTTATTTATATCTTGGTACCATATATAAAGAAAACAAAAGGTGATTAATACAGAAACAATAGAAATGTAACAAGAGCCATTGGGCTATCTGATGTGTCCACTGCGAGGAATCGAACTTCGGATTTTTGCGTTATAAGTCCGTAGACTTACCCTGTCACACGGGGGGACGACGACTAAGTCTGGAGTATGAAACTTGAAATTGAATTCATGTTTTTACTTCGGATCCATTGGTGATTATTAGTTTGAACTATATAATTATTTGTATTGCATAAAATATGTTACAACAATCTTTCTTTAGCAGGAAAATATTTTCCTTGGAAAGGAAAGATATCATTCTGAAGGATGTTTACCAAGATAATCGTGACGCAAGACTTAATAATATCACGATGAAGTACAATGTCATAATAATAATTACATGCGTAGAGATGTTATACGAAGTAGAGTTACATCAGTAACGTTGGACGTAGTTTTAATATTCAATATCATTTTACAAACACTGCAAAGAAACGTTTTTATCGCTATTTAATTAATATACATCTCTTACGAATAAAAAACAAAACATATGTCATTGATAAGAAGATAGGCTGACACATTTAGCTCTAATTAAATTGTAATTTAAAATTTAATGATTTTTTTAAGGAAAATTTATCCCAAACATGATTAAAAAGTTTCTTGCTACGTAATTCGGTTTAACTTTTCAACACCAAAGAAAAAAATATTTTAGTGTAAAACTAAATTTTAAATTTTTCATGTGAATATTGAGCCTAAAACAATTCAAATAGGTCCGGGCGTGTCCCAATCGTTAGAGTGCCCAGACTGTATCTATTTTTTTAATTCGTTATTCACGTCCCGCTGCTTCAAAAACACGCTCCGTACTTTGGGCCACGAGATTATAGTGGCCCAAGACTAATTGCTTTCTCTGTAATCTTATCAGTTCAAAATTAGGGACAGCTATACGTAGACAGTCCTTGTGTAGCTTTGTATGAACATTCTAAAGAACCAAATATGGTCAGTGATAAATTCACGGTCTTGTGACGCTAAAATCCAGGGTTCGATTCCCCGCGGTGGACAGAGGGTTGATAGTCTATTGCGTAGTTTTGCGCTAAAAACATATTAAACAGTTGACTTTAGTAATTTCAAGAATTAAAGAGATTTATTATTTTCTCATAGACAGATAAGACGTTAATGTAATTTCTAAATTTTGGGAAGAAAGTTGTGTAATTGTTCTTTCAGTAAAAAGTTTAAACATTGTTATTTCTGCTTCTCTATAGCGAACTACTCCTATTGAGTCAAACTATTTCAAAAGTTATGTTATATTTAATGCTGTAATTTCAGGGGGAAAAATCAATAATAAGCTAAATTTTTGTTTGTTTGTCTGAGAAACATGGCGTCTAATTCATGCTCTTATAATCTTTAGAATGTAACATATATATATATCACGGATTGCATACGCAGCCAGCCTCAAAAAACTGTCTAGCCAAGTTGTATCAATCCATGTACAGTTAGTGATCAATATCCGCATATCGGTATTTCTTAAAGAAGGTTCTTGTAGCAGTGTAACCTCCTAATTATGCAGCTGTTATTTAGGTTTAATGACCTGAACCAAAATAACGAGATTTGTTAATAACAAATTGGCAATAAGATACACGATCATAATCGTTAAGGATTTAAAATTTTAATGGATCTATTTTTTTATATATGCATCTCTTTCTGTTTTTGTAATGCAGCGTTTCCCAAACTTTTGTCATTCACTCACCCCCCCCCCCCCCCAAATAAATATGGTTTCTTGCGCGCCCCTGTTATTTTTTATACGAGTGAAAGAGGGAGTTAAGTGATGAAATGTAATACACGGATACGCATTAAAATGTTATTACGTGTTGTATTAATTATTTACTATTTTCATTAAAAAAGATATATATATATATATTAAAGCGCTTAACTTCGCAGTATTATACTACTGACTCTATCCTAATCTCTCGCGCCTCCAACAGATACTTTACAAATGGTTTCCTTAAGAACTAGAACAAAGCACACACACACACACACACACACACACACGCACATATGCAATAAGCAAAGAAGGCCGTTTCATATTTCATGGACGAGTGAGTTGCAGAAAGGATTTTACGTTTCAGAAAGTTTGATGTTAAATTTTATTTTCAAAACACTCACAATTTCTAAGATAAAGTCGGAAATGAATATGAATACAAATCATGTGTGCGTGATAAATTTTTATATGTTCAAATTATATCTTAAGTATAAGCACTGTTAGTGTAGATTTAAAGTTATCTTATAACTTTCTTTTGTCGTGCCGAGCTTATCACAAAAGCTCCTGTTCAGAATATCACATGAGTTTTACGGAAGTTGATAGGTTAGCTGTAAAAAGGCCCGGCATGGCCAGGTGGGTAAGATGCTCGACTCGCAATCTGCGGATCGCGAGTTCGCCCTTTTAGCCGTGGGGGCGTTATTATGTGACGGTCAATCCCACTATTCGTTGGTAAAACAGTAGCCCAAGAGTTGGCGGTGGGTGGTGATGACTAGCAGCCTTCCCTTTAGTCTTACACTGCTAAATTAGGGGATGGTTGGCGTCAGGAAGGGCATCCGGCCGTAAAAACCCTGCCAAAACCGAAAATAGCGATCCCGTATAGATACGGGAAAAAAATACGGAAGAAGAAGATAGGTTAGCTGTAAAACCCCATTGTTTTGTCTTAAAATAGCCTTAGGTTCTCTGTAACAAGTACAAGATATTTGTACTGCACGTTTTACCTCATGTATATTATCAGAATACAATCGTTCAGCATTCGCCACGTGCTGAACTGCATGATGTTTTCCTTTTTATCAGAACGCTTTACTTCGAAAAAGAAATAATCAAGGAAACGGGGTTTATTTAATATTCAACGTACAAAAACTATCGTTGTATGGACAGCATCACTAATACGAGGTATTCCCGGGCTCAAAGTCGGGAAGTGGAGAGGCGTTACCATGGTGATAATATTGAACACATCAATTTTAATAACAAGGAATAGTATGGGGGGAGAGGCGATAAAACTAATGGTACTGCTATGTCGTTCACTACTTATTCTTATAAGTGAGATAAGATTTAAAGTTTGAGGTGTGAACTGTCGAGATATCGCTCAATAATTCAAAATACTATAAGCGTGCCATTAAATTAGGAAAAGGAAAAACAAACCAAGCCGTAGACATTAAAAACTTCTTCCGAAACTCTTTAGTTTCATAATTTACGCACCTTTCATTGAAAAATGTTTATAGGTTATTCTAAGTATATGAAAATCACATGAAGTGAATATTGTTGCATATAATTAATACACCATATTTTCAAAACAAAGGTTTTTTTCTTTTGTTTTTGTTTACTTTTTTCTTTATAGAAAAATCTATAACTTAATAACTTGATCCGTTGGACTACCCTTATTAATACAATATATCTTCAGCTTGGTGAAGTGGCACAGCGGTATGTCGGCGGACTTACAACGCTAGAAACCGGGTTTCGATACCCGTGGTGGGCAGAACACAGATAGCCCATCGTGTAGCTTTGTGCTTGACTTCAAACAAATTGTGAATTATTCTTGTCAACGTGGAGTTGTCTCAGGTTTTTGAAAATTGTTGAACATGTACGGGAAACTAGTCTGATTGAGAAAGTAACTAATCTTGTCGAAGATAAAAAATCATTCATTACTGAAATAAGGCTAAGGTAATCTCTTCTTTCTGTGAAGTCAAATCTACTAAGGCTATTGTATCCGTAAAAGACCAGTTTTTTGTCCTTATTAAGCGAGAAACATAAAAACTTTTACTTTGTATTTTAGTTAGTTGTGTATTATATAACTTTTTATTTTCTATAATATAAACAGGATTGGTCCCGTGGCTTTCCGGGAGAGATGATGAAATCATGGATGACACTGTACAACCAGAAACAGAAACAGTCCAACAGCCTGTAATTATTGAAGCTGAGCAAGAGGTGGTCAAATCGAGCAGCAGTGGACTCAATAAGAACCTGCTACGCTGCTTGCTACTGGTGTTACCTGTAGCTATACCTGTAGTGATCTACTTACGAGACGTTGCTCCCACGCGTCGCATCTTTCTCACCACTTTTGTGCTGTTGTTGGTTGTCGTTTTCTCCTGTATGTTGATGGCACTGCTGCGGGCTCACCGGCGCCATCTGGAGGATGCCATGTCGGATAGTGAGATAACACGGGAGCTTGCGCAACATCACATATTGTCTATGACAAACCGCTTTTTACCACGAAGATCAGCTTGTGGCACGCATGAAATTCACTCTTATACCCACACCCCTGTACATTATCATCTTGCACCCCACTACCATAGTCGTTCTCCATCCCCGCAGGTGCCTCACTCCCCAGTTTCTCTTGACTCTCCGCTCTCTCGCTCTCCTTCTTGTCGCCAACATTCGCGCTCACCCTCTCTTCGTCAACCTTCACGCAGTTCTTCAGTACGCCAGCATTCGTCCAGATCCCCTCTCCATCGGAACTCGAGATCCCCTTCCCCTTACAGAACTCGCCGATCTTTTCGACGACATTCTTCAAGTTCTCCTCCGCGTCGGGTCCAGTCGACCAGCCGCCTACCGCGGTCGCCTTCTCCTTATCGTGCAGCACTGTCTCCGGCATCTTATGTGGACCAACTAACGCCTCCTGTCGTTCATCCAGGTCGATCCCGCTCGCTCTTCTTCTCGGTTCACGTAAACTCTACACAAGTGCACGTTCAGCCTCCCACCAGGGATGATCCACCACCCTACGAAGTAGCTTTAGGATGTCCTCTGGCTACTGTCCGTAGTCCTAGAGAAGGTGCCTGTAATCCACAAGCTGAAACTCCGCCTCCTAGCTACGATAAAGTATTAAACTAGAGATTAAATGCTCTTTACCGATAATCGGTATCGCATGAACTCACGCTCGACTGTTTTACGAAGACCAATATTTCTTGTAAGTGCTCATTAGTGTGGAAAAATAGTTTGCTCTGGACTCCGATCAGCTTTAAAAACTTGAAGATCACAAACGTGTTGCTGGTCAAAAGGAAATGTCTTTATTACGATTTGTTTTTGTGGTAAAAAATAACGCAGAAATTGTATTCAAAACTTGCGTATATGCGCTCTTTGATCAGCTACAATATTTGAAAGTCATATTACTTCGTGATTATATCCAGTGAAAGTACTTTACGCAAACAAATACAGTAATATTACTAACTACATATATTGTAATACTGTTTCTTGGAATTTAAAGTGATAAAAACATACACACACAAAACAAAACATTTATAATGCTTTGTGTGTGATAGAAATTGCCTGAACTTGGAAAATAGGAAAAAAATCATGGTACGACAACCAGATACTGTATAAAAATTCCTATAGTGGCTGGAACTTGCTCCAGACGTGGCTTAAAAGTGTGTTGCTCATAGTTTATTTCGGCTGATCAATGATTAATCACTAAAAGTTTCCAACGACTTTTTTTAAAGGTTTCAAAGCGTTAGATACTAATCTTTGAAAAATCAATAGGTAAAAATAATTAGTATTTTCCAGAGTAATGTTTTTGTTATACAATGTTTGTATGAGATGTTAGAGTGAATTTAAAATGGTAATGAAATTCTTAATTAACACGATATTTGTTAGAAGCAATCTTTGACCATTTACTGTGTTACAAAGCTTTAATATTTTTATCTATATTAAAGTACAGTAATTTAAATTATTATTTATTTGGCCTCAGCAAACCAATGTAATTAAAGCAACCTGTGTAATATTCACACATTGCTTTGTATAAACTAAACCGCTCAAATGATTACTTTTGCCAACTGATTATTAGTAGTAGCTTATTGTTAACGAACTGACACCTACTGTGTGTCATTAGTCTTGCGAGTTTAACCCTACCTCGACTCCTATGACCTTCTCCTTGGTAAAAAATCAGTTTTAGCAATGAATTTGAACCACAAAGCTGTGAAATACTTATATCTGAACTCGACAGATTCTACTTTCTTATACAAAGTTAATGACAAGCAATGAAATAGATTACTTAATCATATTTTTCATGCTGTATCTACCACTTTCAGATTCAAACAGCCTTGTTGTAAACTGTTAGAATGGTATGGTATTGTCTTTTGTATATACATATCTATATATTTTCTAAAATAACAGATTTTACTACAAACAAGCCTAATGTTTCGCAACACACACACACACACACACACACACACACGTGGCCAGGTGGTTAGGGCGCTCGACTCGCAATCTGAGGGTTGCGGGTTCGAATCCCCGTCACACCAAACATGCTCGCCCTTTCAGTCGTGAGGCGTTATAGTGTGACGGTCAATCCCAATATTCGTTGGTAAAAAAGAGTAGCCCAAGAGTTGGCGGTGTGTGGTGTTGACTAGTTGCCTTCCCTCCAATCTATCACTGCTAAATTAGGGACGACTAGCGCAGATAGTCCTCGTGTAGCTTTGCGCGAAATTCAAAAACAAACAAACAAACAAATATATATACGTTATAATTGCTGTTTCATAAAAACACGACATATTAAACATTGTGATTTATCAGGGTTTTAGCGCAACCTTCCCACTGTCTTCTTCACAAACTGTGTTTTCTGAAAGAAATGGCCTATTTTTACACACCATTTGTTTTATTATGTCTCCCAGACTTTCTTCTGTTCAAATATTATAAAAACCGCTTGATTTAGCCTGGTCTCCCAGACTTATACCTAAATAATAAAAAGTGGATATTCTACTTTTTTCAAAGCGTTTGGTTTACCCGGATCTCCCAGACTTTCTTCTGCCCAAACTGAATATTCTAATTATAAAACGTTCTACTTGTTAAATATCGTTTAGTTTGCTAGGTAGCATTTTAAAAATTGTTCATCTGGTTTATTCGTCTGTACATGTTATATCTCTGAATTATCTAACGCATATCAGAAACTGATTACTTTACTGTAGTATATTACATTGCGCAGTCCACGTGTTTCAGAATGTGATTTGAAGATGAAGTAATATTGTTTAACGTTGTTTAGAAACATTGCATTTTCATCAGTGGAAATTGCGTTGAGCTTACCTATGCTTCTCGGTATTTTGTCGTACATTTTTCACTTTCATATCTGCTTCCACTCCTAAATCTTCTCACCATGTAGTTAGCCATAGATTTTCAATTTGAAATTTTTTCATGTTTTTATTATGAATACCTTGTACAGATTTCTTTCTGCTGTATACGATTCTGACGTACAATACAACTGATTTTGACTGTTCCATTACGTAGAATAGGCATTAATTTGTTCTGTTTTTGCTTTGTGTATGAATTATAACTTAACAAGAAATAGAAAAACATAGGTTAGTTTTGAACTGTACTAAATAGTATTGAGATTAGAGGTCGATTAAATGAAGGCATACTGACAGTTGTCAATGTTCACAACTTCAAAATGTTCATTTCTGTTCATTTTAGGATCCGAACTCTATACTGACAGTTGTCAATTTTTACAACTTCAAAATGTTCATTTCTGTTCATTTTAGGATCCGAACTCTATTTTCAGAAACATAGATTATACAGATTAGACAATTACTTAAATTGTAATCTTGAACAAAATATCCATAATACTCGAAACTTGTAATCTTGAACAAAATATCTATAATGTTATAAGATGGTAATCTTGAATGAAATATCAATAATACGTTAAAATGATAATATTGAGTGAAATATCTATAATACTCCGAAGTCGTAATATTGAATAAAACACTCTAAATACGGGGGGGGGGGGGGGCGCATGCTGGTGGCTGAGGGGGGAGCAGTTTTTTGACGGGAGAGCCCAAATTATATCGACGGAATAAACAGATGAGTTTGAGACAACGATAATCTAACAAAACTATCACTTTTTTTTTTTGCTTTCGCATTTACTAACTTCTTGCAAGCATTTCTTCATTAAAAAAAATTAAAAACAGGTAAAGAAAATGTTGATTTCGTGAAAGTTATTTTAATGTGAAGGGAGGGCTCTTTTTATAGTTTGGAAAACACTATATTAAGTGGATCGGCGTGGCTTACAGGTTAGCATGATCGGAATGTGGATCAAGATCTGGTATATTTACTGCTATATTTTCAGAAAACAAAATCAATAGTAAGTTAAAATTTCTTGTTTGACAAGGAATGTATCATCTAATACACGCCCTTGAAGTCTTTAGAATGTAACGTACATGCGCGTATAGCTCTTGTGTAACTATGAACGAAAATCCTGAAGCAAACAAACAAATTATTTTAGCATTGTATAAAATAGTCGTAACTACAATGAAAAATTTCCATGAGCTATAAGTATCTATTGGTTTCAGACTGGAGTTGTCATATTCCTCAGTAATCCACGTCAACTCGTTCTTCCATTTTCCTTAAAAAATCGATCATTTGTCCCTAGCCCCCCAGTGACACATCGGTATGTCTACGGACTTACAACGCTAGAAACCGGGTTTCGATACCCGTGGTGGGCAGAGCACAGATAGTCCATTGTGTAGCTTTGTTCATAAATTCAAACAAACAATACGACTCGCTACAAACTAGCTGAACAAGTACACGCATACATCGCAACTAAATTTTCAAAAGAGATTATATTTTGCCAAAATACATCCATACATCATTTTCGATGACGAGGAACCCACTTTGAGACTAATAATG